CAGAGCCCCGGGCCAGCCGGTCCCGGTGCGCCTCCAGGACTCTCAGAAGCAAAAAGCTGGAACGGCAGGCATGAGCAGAAATGCCAGGGTGGTGTATGAGACTTACCAAAAACTCCGCGGCGATAGCTGGGACTGCGGGTGTCCGGGCGGGCAGGGGTGCGGGCCCGGCAGCAGAAGGAAGGAAGGCAGCTCCCGGCGGGGTTATATAGCTGTGGGAGCGAAATTCCTTTCCCAAGTAGCAGCTCCACCGTGTTCCTCCGAAAGCTGAGAGCAAATGAGAGTCCCCATCTCCCCAGCCCTTGAAATTTTTTCCTGCCTCTCTTGTCGTGGTATCTCTGTCTCCCCGCCCCCAGAGAAACTCCCAAAAACGGGAGTTCCCCCTCCGAGCTGTCTCGAGCACCCAGCCCTCAGTGCTTCTTAGCAACTCAATGAGAAAAAATTCCACCAGTAACAAGGAAAGAAAAGAAAGAAAAAACCCCCAAGCCTCAACAAAGTTTTTCTTTGGCTCACAGGCCCCCTTGGCTAATCATGCGTGTGCCGCTTGGGTTAGTATTTTTAAGCATATAAGTACTCCTGCATTTTCTGTGAGGAAGAAATGTAGTTCATTCAAGCTCCTGGTTTATATTTCTGGACTATAAGTCTTTTTTTTTTTTTTTTTTTTTTTTTTTTTTTTGCTTATAATCCCTCATCTAGTGTTAGTAGGTTAGTTGTTTGACATCTCATTCTCCTCTGTTATTTTACATTTGCCTCTCAAAAAAAAAATAAAGTCAAAGGGTATTTTGATTAGTGGAAATCCATGGTTTAGTGGTTTTCGTTAATTTTGCGGTGCTGGATTGTGTAAACCGGTCTTACTTTCGTTTGTTGTACCTTTGGCATAGCTTTCTTCTCCTCAGTAGTGCTCCTCAGACAGGCACGCTAGCAATCCGACAGTGCCACGCTCCTTCTGTGAGGGAGCAGGATGTGCCCAGAAGCTCACCATGCACCACATCTGCTTCAGAAAGCAAAAAGGTCATTATTGTATTGATTTTTAGAGAGTGAAATGCATGAAACTGGGTCCCCAGAATTATTTGTTTGTACCAATAACTGCTATAATTTTAAAATTAACTTAATTTGAAGATTTCTGTCTCAGTCAGGAATTGTACTTTTAACAAAGTTGGCTGCCTGCTCTTAGACAGGGAAGACCTCCAAACAGTTTTTAATATGACTCTATGTCCTAAAATCAGTGTGAATTAGCATAGGTCTCCTTAATTAAAAACAGGGATCAATGGAATACTTTTGCTGGAGATAGCAGATGTGAAGTGTAGCAAAGAGTGATCAAGCCACATCCTAAGGGAGGCTGGTTTTGGAGATTTTATTTACTAAACTCTTGCAAATATTAACTTAGCCAGGTGATAACTTCCGCTTTGGAAAGATTCATAACTTCACTAACTAAGATGAATTTTTATGAAGATGGGAATTGTTAACGCTTGGGAATAAAGAGCTCAATCCATAAAATTCTGACTTTTCCTAACTCTGAGGTTTCTCTGTATCTGAAAGAAAAAAAAATTGGCCCCTTTATAAAATTTATTCTAGGACAACTGAAGAAAATAAAATCCCCGAACATTTGTCTAATAAGAGACAAGATAGTAAATTTGGGGCTGTATTCACTCATTTTTGTCAGAATTAAAGTGCCTTGTTACTCACAGTCTCAGTACAGGCGCAAACTTGAGAAAAAGTAATTTGATGGTTTTCAGCTATAAATTTCTCTCCCAAGCAAGATTTATCTTTTCTCCTGATAAATTTGTGAATTAGTTAAAAATTGTCATATCTTTCCTACACCTGTGAATACTGCAGCCATTTAAGAGAGATGCTTCAAGCTAACCTGAAAGGCAGTGGCAAAGAAAAGGTAGTAATTCAAAATTTTGTGGTTTTCAGATCCTTCCTAATTCAGTAGATTACGAGATTATGGCACCTTCCAGATATCTTCATCTGTTTTGGCATCAGGAATGATACTGTAATTTTTTTTCACATCTGATCTAAATTAAACCAATGCCATACAGCTTTAAAGATGCCCTCACAATGAACAATGAACTTTTAAAGATTATTTAAGGTGCTTTCCCATTTTTGGTATTTGCTTTTTTTCACTTTTTTTTTTTTTCCTTCTCACTGACATCCCAGCCTAAAGCAAATATTCTTTAGCTAAATCTGGGACAAAATGGGGGCAATAATCTCATCTCTTTAAGAGGATAACAATAGCCTCTTCACCAAAAAATAATTCCCCCTAAAGACTACAAAACACCAAGGTTGAAATAAATTCTGGTACCCTATTCCCACAAAGCTACCTTATTTTTTTAGAAGGAAAGGAATTTTTGTCTTATTTTTATTGACACCTCTAACTTTATTAGCAAGACCAAAATTTTAAATTTCTCTTTTATATTGCACTTCATTTCCCAACATTTTTTATGCAGATTAGCATATGGGAAGCTCTGAGAAGCTTTCTACACTACCCTTCTGAAGTCACATATAAATAATCTGACCCATCTCTAATGTGTGGTTGGCAACATCACTCTGCATAACTTCGTCTTATGTATTTTTCCATAATGCCAGTGTCATATGCACTATCTGAAAAAATATGAAGCATGATTTAGGGTGTCCTCTTTGACTAGACTGTATTTTCTCTTTCTTCTTTGGTTCAGCAGCTAAATGGAAAAAAGCTGTTTGGGTTTATTGCTTCCTAGTGATTTCACCACCCCCCCCCCCCAATATAACTGAAAAATCCTTAAAATGAAACAAAAACCTGGGAAGTTTTTAATTCAGCTGTTTAATTTCTAGTATGTGGGAGGGACATCAAGCTGGTGCAGAGCTGCATTTAGTAGTTATGCCATCCTAAGCAAGAACCTTCAGTTGCTGTTCCACCAGCTTGCTTGTGTGCCACCACAGTGCACCAGAGAACCAATATGGCTGGAAAATAACCATTTAAATCATCGCTCCACGTCATTCTGTTCTCCTGAGAACTGAGGGGATTCAGAGTTTTCCGGCTTTCCAAAGGGTATTTTAACCTATGAAGTTCTTCTGTCTGTGCTGATTTCAATCCCAGCAGGGCAATTAAACTTCGAACAAGCCATCCTCTCCCCCAGTCTCTTTCTGTAAGTAAGGGACAGTAAATGCAAAATTATGAGTTGCAATAAAAATGTACTAAAACCACAATAACAGCAGCAGTTTTAATAACAAGACTACAAAAAAGAGAAGGTGATTTACCCACACAAGGGTATTCACCACTGGGAATAAAGGAGAACAAAAAAAGCTTCCCAAAGGTGGTGCTTGCACACTAGCTATTTGGGAAACAAAGGTAATGGGGTGAGGAGATCTCCCACAGCTTAACATTCCCCCTCTGGTCCCCAGCCCAAAAACAATGGAAAACAAGGACAAACAAACCCTGGAAGTTAGTTCATCATGAGGGGAATGGTGCAGCCACTGGCTGAGCTCAGCTCTCTGTAGTTGCTTGCGCTGCCACCTGCAAATCTCTGTAACATCATGTGATCTGTGTGTGTGTGTGTGTGAGTGTGAGTGTGAAACACCTCTGCCAGGGTGCTTACCCTGGTGCCTCAGAGCTGTCCCTTTCCGCACCGTCCTCCTCCAGGGGAGAGATGGGACAGCGGGGAGATGGTGGACAGCAGAAGCACCAAGTAGAAGGAACCAAGTTCAGCGGGTTTTTAAGGCAATTGTCCACTCTGCTCCAGCAAGCCTGGTAAGAAGAACTATTTTCTGGTGCCCAGGTTGTCCTGCTGAACGCAGTGAAGTTGATGGTATGGAATGAACGCTGTGGTCACACCCACACAGTGCTAAAAACCTCCACCCCATCTCTGCAACCAGGCCACCACCACGTTCAGTTTCTTCTGGTAGAAAACATACTGGAATTGTGTGCCATAAAGTGGATCTGGAACAACTAAGAGAGTCTAAAAATAAGACCATTATATGTTAAATAAGACCATTATATGTTAAATCTGCATTGGCCAAGTTTTCTGAGGCACCTGGCAAAGCAAGAGAGAAAGCAACTTTTAAGTTTCCTTACTGGAAAAAAAAAAGAAATTTTGTATTATTAATTATTCTTGTGTGTGTTAAGAGCAGTTTGTGATATTATATGCCCAACCCAGAACTTTGATTACGATGGATTAAGGTTCTGTGAATAAATAATCTTCACTGCTTTCACATCACCTTGATTTAGGTGATAAAGCTTGAGCTTTTATCCTTTGCAGTATAAGGATTCTTCGAACTTCCATTGCATTTACCAGCATAGCAAAGACTGAAACTAAAATTTTACTGAAAAAATCACATAAATATGATAAATAAATAGTTTGTATGGTGTTTTAACAAAAACATACCCCAAATAATTTTTCTAGATCTTTTAATTCAGGCAGTTCAGATGCTGAAAATATCCTTTCAAGAAGATACATAAAAACTGACAATTCAAAAAAAACCCTCTGAATTTGTTCAAAATGCAATCTTGAGATCCATTGTCAGTCAGTTTTGGCTTTTTTTTTTTAAGAATGACAAGTCAGGTGATAAAGGAACAAGACTTTATGACTTTATTTCAAATAAAAATGGATGAATGAATGTATATTACACACACCATAAGTCACAAAAACTGTTGTGTTCCAGTCAGATTTTGCCATCATGTCCACGTGAATGTCAAGCCATTTAATCACTTTGACTTTTAGTGCTTTTACAAAAAGCAATTTTTTGTTCCATAACAAGACTCATTTCTCATTTCTGTTTCAAGGGGTGAACTGTGGAGAGCACTTAATTGGAGAGTACGAAACCGAAAAGGATTTGGTTGTACAGCTTGCAGCTCCTGTCTCTCGGACCCACTGAGTGTTGATTATTGCACAAGGAGCATGGCAGCCTCTCCTTGCAGCACAACCTTAGGAGGAGCTTGGCCTGGTGACAGGACAGGGAGACAGTAGAGATGCTTATTGTATAAAAATTTGAGACTGGTCACTGATAAATAGCAGCAAACCATGTTTGCTCTAAGGTCACAAAGTAGGTGAAACGGGAGATGGAACAAAACTTACTATACTTCCAATACAAGGAGAAACATGAAGCAAACATTTAAGCCAGGATGCTTACAATTTACCCATTATTGTTTGCCACATTTTATAATATAAATTAAATGGTGTCGACTAATTAGGTAAATGAACAAAATATTTTATCTCACTGAATCAAAAATCAAAGCTTTTATGGTTTTTTTGGGTTTTTTTTCTATTTGAAGCACGTAATATACATTCCATTTTAAAACAGAGCTTTTTACATACAGGAAAATACCTCATATCTTTTTGGGAACTTCAGTATTTTCATTTAAATGTTGGTTTGAAAAATTAAGTGTTGTACCGTTAAACCCAGGAAAATGAAGATGATCTTCACTGAACAGGGTTTTCCACTGGGGACTCCACTGGCATTCAGTTGTCTCATTTAATTATCACTTTCCTGATTCAACCATTATTCATGAGCTTCCTTGTGTTCTTAAAAAGCTCTGAGCTGTGCTTGCCAATGTTATGGCACATTATGAAGCACAGTTATGCAGCAAGAGGGAGGGGGTGATAATGCATTGGTCTATACTGCTGACATATTTTCTGTTTGATCTCCTCAGCTGCCAGTGGAATGCAGAGCTCTTTATTCAAAATCTACTGCTGCTGCTTAAGAATTGTGCTGGTAGTACTATCCTTTGCATTGCTTCAGTAAAATAGAGCAATACTGAAACTGTATGAATTGTTTGCATGGAGTTTATATTAGTTTTTATTTGACTGCATTTGCCTTTTTAATAGTGGTAAAATAAAAGCCTGGAGGGAAAAGTTCCTAAGAGATGCCGGGAAAATACTCCTGGGTATGTTGGAGGTGAATTTTAATTGCCATCAGTTCTACCCATATTGAAGCAGGAGTATGGGTCATTTCAGATCTTCGTGCCTTCTCTGCCTAGTTTTAATGTTTAGATTTTTAGCTGAATTTACTAGTTTAGGATTTACTAATGCTGCCAATTTACTAGTTTAGGATTTTTGCTGAAAATCCGTAGTCCAAGGTAGTTAGACTAAAGATAAAGACTGAAAGTCTAAATTAAAAACAGCTGTTCTTCCAAATATGCCTCAAATCATGCTACAGCTTATTTAAATCTTGAGGAAATGAGTCATTAATGAAGTTCACAGCTAGTTTGCTAGTGTTATCTGTCCTTGGCTTCACCCTAGGATATTATGTCAAACCCCATAACTTTTTAATAAAGATGATTTTTAAATTTTTTTATTATGCCTAAATAATGAATTGGCACATATGTAAATTTCTGAATACAGTTAAGGTGGAATATTTATTTACTGAGACTACAGGAGCACTACTATCACTTCTTATTTTCAGATATGGAAAGCAAAATCTGCAAAAAAATCTCAGCATGTTTCTTAGCAGTCTTGCATCAAGTATATATGAGAATAAAAGCTGATTCTCCTAAACTCATGCTAGGGTGAAAGGAAATACCTACACACTTTACACAGCCTGGCTGAAACATTTATTATTCCAAATTCCTCTCTGAAGAATGCAGATCTTTAAATAAAGCTATGAGGCAGTTTGAAACAAGATGCAGTTCCAATAAATTCAGCACAGTTGCTTCTGCTTCAGTCTCAAACAAGTTTCAATTTGGTAGCAAATTATACTATAACTGAATATTTACAAAGTTCTGAAGTCTTCTCTTAGTCATATCTTTCCATAATTTCAGTAGGGACAGTAATATTACATGAGTGGGAAGTTGCTTGAATGAACATTAATTTCCTATCCAAAGACATTGACACCAGTATGTACCACAAATGAATAAAACAGGCCATCATCTCTTCAGAGCTGTATCCTTGTAACTAAGAACAGAACTTGGCTTCACAGGCTTGTCTGGGGCTACGCTTGCTATGAGTAGTCTGTGAATCGGAAGAGCTGCTGCAACCAGGATGTGCCAACAGAGCCAGAGCTGGAGCTGGAGCTGCTGCACCACCTCTGTTCCAAAGACTTCTGGACTTATGGATAAAGCCACTTGGTCAAAACATGTATTTCTCCCAGTGGAAGCTTCAGGACTAACTTCCATGCTACAGACCATTTCCAGCTCTATAACCTGTTTTATAGAGCAAGATACTCAGCAAGTCACACTAAGAAGGAAAGACAGCAATGAAAAGGGTAAGTTTTAAAGATAAAACTCCAGTAAATTCACATGGCATGAGTTGAGTTTGGAGATATTATCTTAGATTTCTAATACGATAACAAAAAACTGTTGCTAATGTTGCTTTAGAAAAGGACAAAGTAAATTATTCACTGCTGACAAATTTCAAATTAGTCTTGCTTTGTCTAAAAATTATGCCTTAATTCAAACAGGTCCCTGTGGAAACCATATGGATTTCATTCTAAGTGTAATAATCCTTTCTTTCAGTATACTTCATAAATATGTTTTTCTGCAGATTTTTTCATCACATCTGCTGAATGCTGATTCCATTCTTTTGCTCTTAATTTTTGAGGAGAAAAATGGTCATGTCTATCTCGTTTTATTTTTGTTGTCAACTAGTCAAATGTGGCACTCAGTGATTTTTTTTAATTAATGTTCTTATTTTGATAAATAGCTTTTGTTAATGTTTAATGTGGCTTTAGGATCTGTGTTATATTTAAAAGCTGATATTTAGGATCAGATTTTCTTCTTTTTAAAAAAAAATTAACATAAAGTAAAGCAAATCCAAAATTACTTGGTATAACAGTTTTTGTTTCCAGTATTCATTCTTTTTGTGTTTTTTTTTTTTTTTTTTTAATGCAGGATATACAGTTCAATATAACCAGTGCTTGGCGTTGCCTAAATTCAGGTTTGATAGGTAAAAGACATCTTAGCAAGTACACCAAACCGCTACATCTTCTCTGACTTTGATTTGATCACACTTACAAGGCAATACAAAGTATGAATGTTGCAGAAAGTTGCAGAAAAATTACACAAGCAACAGTTTCATAAACTGCAAGTACCAAGGAAAAGACAGGTTTTATTTCCAAATTGCACACAATAATCTTTCCTCTAGGTGTTGTACTTTCTTTCACTTTTGTCTTTTGCAGCTTTTTTTCCTCAGACACTACATTTTAATCATTAA